CGCTAATACCGCTAAATGCCTCGTCAAGCGACCACGGAACTTTTAATCGCAATAGAATAACAACATTGCACGCGATTTATTCAATGACTTACACGCCATCCGTGGTATTCATTTTGCATGCGAGTATTCACACGCTTTCATTGGAACGAGTGAATTCGGCAGTTGTCTCACTGAACCTCACTGGCTACGAATCTGTTAAAAGATACTCTCATTTCATCTCTCTCGACTGACAATTTGCCTCGTTACTCCCGAAGTCGATAATTCTAGCACCGCCGACTGTTTGCATACAATGAACCGCCGGTTAAACTTAGTTTTCAAGTCGTGCCGTTGAAGAGTTCGCGCGGAGCCGACTAAGATCGAAATGATCCTCGTTTTACGCTGCGCGGCGATAAGACCGGTATTAATGATGCTATTTCGTTGTTGAATGTAGAAAGGATTCCGATACACACACAGGAGACCTTCACGGTTATTAAACCCTTTGCGAAAAGCGATCTCCATATTTATTTCTCGATCGAGAATATCGATTCGCGGTCAACATACGAATTACGCTAATGAGTGAATTCGATTTTAGAGGTCAAGGTTGTCGTCCGCTCGAGATCGAAGTATCTTGGAGGAATATCTTCGCTGTTTATCGAGATCGACGAGAACAGAACAGAGAGGTCCGAAGCTCATCCCTTTGATGAGCTCGTCTCCTCTTTCGACCGAGTTGCGTCCTTTTTCAATCGTTCGTCTGTTAAATTCGCTCGACGCGACTATATCTGGTGTATTACTCAGGAACTATCCCGGCACACGGTGGGTTTAATTGACCCCGAAGAAGCTCGTCCTAAGCCGGAATCATGTTGTGCGAATCTTGAATCAATAGCGGGCGCGAACAGTACATGTGTGTGTGTGTGTGCAAATATACATTCTACGTGTCGCTGGCTGGAGTTATCGGCCGACGATAACGATGACCGCAGTTGTTATTTACGAAGACCTTTGCCTCGCGGCTTTTCATGCGCTCTGTCTAACGTGCGATTCTCCGATGGTGAAATCTTGGATTTTCCGCGAGACTGAAATAAACCTTTCTTTTTTTCGGTTTCATTGATTGCTACCGGTGTACAGGAACGAGCGACCGTTCTGTGAACCGTTGTTTTTTTCTTCACTTTCATTCGCGCTCTTAACGAGATCGTCCTCAGTCAGCTGCCGCGACGATGTCGAGGTGCAATCGTACAATACGTGCTATCGGCCAAGTTTCGTGCTCTGTTTAGAAGCGGTTAGATGTATATTTAGCGACATTTGTGGAGCGGATGCTAGCGTTGGCGCCGTGCCAGCGCCGGCGCTCTTTCTCCTCGTCGTCGTCGTCTCCCGACCGACTGTTGAATCCTCTTTCCTGCTGTCGCGTGCCCGCCAAAACAATCGGGTCTCTCGCGCAGCGATTGCGGCTGTTAGCGATAACGGATGCGAATTTATCTATATGGTGGGTCAAAGTGAAATCTCGTTTTCGTTCGCGTGTTATTTTTAGCGCGGTAATAACAGCTATTATAGCTGAGGGAACATCGAAATCGCCGTAAAATTCGCCGCGGCGATAACGCCCAGTTTATTATTTTGTGTGATTGACTCTCGCGTATTCCACATCGGCTGATTTTCCACCCGATAAGAGCGACGTTAACGAGATGATTTTAATTCACCTCTAATTGCACGATACGATCGTCGACGAGTTTCACGACGAGTTTGATCGAATAAATTCATCCTGATCGCCGTATAATTTCGGTACGATCGCGCCGAATCGATTTCCAATGATGAGCGAAATAGTCTCACCTTCGGTATCCGTCACTTCTCCGTCGATGAGCCGACATGGATGTCGAACGGATGTGTGTTACAAAAGCGGAGAGCCATCGCGATCTCGAACTCTTCGAAGATCATAAGCTCGAAAGACGAATCGCGACGTATGTGGAACAAGCATGTTCCGTTAAGACGCATCTTGAGACCGTTCTTTTTGATCGCGGGTGATCCTTTTGCCGATCGATACGTTACGACATTATTGATGTTCCTCGAAGATTAATTCATCGTACTTTTCTCTCTTTCTTTCTTTCTCCAACATACATATTTATTCACACGGTCACCCCGTATATTGTATATCATAAGCTAGGTCGTTGTCGTCGTTGATGAAATTTCCAAAATGTTCGTTGCATTGCATAGTGCATTACACGGTCGACAGTATTCGCGATTCAAATTTGCTAAATTTGGCATGCATCGCCATCAACCTATCGCGGACATTTCCAGCAATTTGGTCAATGCGGTAATCAAGCGAAGTATTTTGTTTCCAATATCCCGGAGGCGTATATTACGGATGACGTTCGCGTCACATAACCGCGAATCAACGGTCGTCGTTGTCCGTCATATTTCTCGCGGCCGTATTTTTTCCCCTCCAATCATCGAAGGTTCCGAATATACCATGACCCCGTTACATTCGACTCACGTAAGTATTTTGATAAAGGCGCGAGTTTCTTCTCGCGAGGAGTTTCCCGACGGTGCGAGAAAGCGCGCGTTGATTATCATCTGCCGGTAAACGTAATTCGCGTAATTTACATTCGGCGCGCGGTGTGACCCTTTCGCAGATTTCGAGGAGCGGATAGAGGCGGCCTCCGCCTTTCTCATAACCTCGATCGTAAATAACCGCCCGTAAAACCCCGTCCCAGTTTCGCCGCGGAGAAACGATGTCGGTGCAACCGCGTGCTCGGCTTTCCTTTCTGTCGAGCGGGCTCGGAAAGAGAGAGAGAGAGAGAGAGAAAGACAGAAAGAAACCAATTGCGATTATCTTCGAGGCAGCCGGTCTATCGTTTAACCCTTTGATCTCGCGGGGAATCTTCTCTCCTTTGCATATGTATTGGGCTAATGTTTGTACGCATTTAATATACACTGCTCGAAATAATCAGTGCATCTTTAAAAGACTGTACACGGTAAAAAACATTTTGTATTTGTGTTAAATCATTCGGTCATTGTTAACATTTTTGTGTGAAATTCTTAACGTATTGTGTTTAGGTTATCTCAATATATTTTGTGTCGAGTCGATATTCAACGTGTGTAAGTGTTAAAATAACACTTTTAATACTTCCGTGTCGATTAACATATTATGGATATTAATTTTTGACATAATATTTTTATTACTTTTTAACATATTCATCTTGTGTTGAATTAACATCAAAATTTATGTAGATTTATCGCTTCGGACATGTGAAATGTGTTGAACACAAAATCTTTTACCGTGTATCGTCTAGTCGATGTACATACTTGAAACATTGGATACTCTTTTCGTGGTATTTATCATTAATTATTAACAAACGTGCTTTAACCTAATCCAGAGAACTATACGATTATTTACGGCTAAAGCGACACCCGAGCGGTGTACACGCACGGATTGTTATTATACGTAAGGTGCAAAACGTTCGTAACGAGGCTGTGTACGCTTCCAACGATTAATTCTCGTTTCCTCATGAGCCAACGACACGGAAGGCCGATCTCGTTGCTGGACGAAATATTCATTTCCGCACGATCACGGCCGCGCGCCGCGTTTTCCGCGAGTTAAATCCGATCGGGAGAACGTGAGAGGGAGAGAGAAAAAGAGAGAAGGCGCGGTGTAGATTCCGCATGAATAATTGAGCGCGAGTTTGTGCACCGTGAATGAAATCGAGGCGTGGCCGTCTCTGCGCACGTCAGCTGCACGGCCGATCTCGAGGAATAGAGTCCGCGGGTAAACGCCGTTGGAGACGCGAAGAGAGGAACTTTGTTGCGAAGCTGTGTGTTAATCAGCGTGCAAATCATATAAGCAGCTTATAATTAATTTTTCCTATCGATGAATCTCGTTAAATAATTAATGCAGTGGAAACTCTCGCTCTGCTGTCAGAGGAAGGCAATCATAATCTATAAGCACATATTGATATTAATAAGGCGATTAATAAACGTAAATGTTTTTATTGCAATAAAATAGCGCGTTTCTTCACATAGCTAGCATATTCTGGTCGCTTTTATTCCGCTATCCTCGTTGCTCATTTTGCACACTCATGAATTTCGAACGCGCTGGATCACGGTAACTGGGTGAAAACGGGAGGACGAGGTGGAGCAGAGCGCGAAGCGGAGACTGGTAGAGNGGGGGGGGGGGGAGAAAATAAAGGAAAAAGGCTGGGTGGGATCGCATGTTGCCCGACCATTAAGCATTCCTCTTGCTCGGCTCCGCGCCACATATTAACACCGGGATTTTCACTTATATTAGCCCCTTATCGCTTCATACGCTCTTTCTCCCAGTCTCCGAGAAAAGGACATCGAACCCGTCCGGACTTAACTGATTCTTTTTGTTCCGACGGTATCCCGCGGTCTTTCACGACGCGGCTTCTCCACTAATAAATCGATCGTCCGTTACTGCCTCGCCGGATATGATCAACGACCGCACTCCTGGCAAGCATAGCCCGCGATATCCGGTAACACGAAAAAATGCGCTACGAATCATGTCGACTTTTTTGCGTAAAATTAGCGTCGCGGAAATTATAAAATAGACCGCAATCTCGTGAAAATGTGTAAACGGCTCTCGCGAGGCAACTGAATGTCGTGACGTGTTACGCGAAATTATCTTCAGTATGAAATTAAAATTACGTAAAACTGCACTGTCACTAAAGAACGACGATGTGGAAATATTTTCACAAGAATGCCATCGTTGTTTCTTCTCCCTTCTTTCAATCGCGTTCGCTTCACGTGAGCTTTTCCGCGTGGCTTTTCCCCGCACCTCCGCGCGATGTCGTCGCAGAACACCCAAGCCTCGATCGATCGGCCGGCGTGTTTCGAAAACTCGCGCACTTTTCCCGTATCTTCTGACGTTTCCGCTCCGGGAAGTTTGCCTTGGAGTATCGCGATAACGACCGCAGTTGGCACACGCGGATTATCCGACTTCGCTAGTCGAGAGACAGATAGAGATAGAAAGAGAGATAGCGCTCTTCTCTAAGTAAAGTATACGTGTCCTTTATTTCCAGCCTGGCAAAGTCACCCCCGGTGGTGTCCCGTGAGAGAAAGGAAGTGCGGAGAAACGACGGGGGGAGACCCAATTACCGGGTTCGATTTCTCTCACGTCGTCCGTCCGAGAACGGAGTTCACTCGATTTCGGAGATAAGGTTCGACGAATGGGAATTTATACGTGAGTAAACACGCGCAGCGTTACGTCAAGTTCAGTTCGGTATCGCGTGAATGTCGTCTCGACGGTCAAATTGTTTTGTAACATTTATCATTCGCATGTTTATCGTAAATTATTATAGAATAATACCGAGCTATTTTGTTTGTAATAACGAACCGTACGAGCGAAGGATTTCCGAAATAATACCGGACAGTACGATCATAAGTATTGTTTAGAAATGCAAGGAGATGAAAAGGGAAAGGTAAATTGGATCTTTCTCAATCCGATCTTTGGCGTCGCGACGTTCGAGTGCTGAGAAACTTTGCGCAATTAACGGATTCGTTTTCGCGGAAGAGCGGAAAGAAGGTCTCCTCGCAAATGCGGGCGGACGGAACATTAACGTGTACCCGATCCAACGTCGAATCGCACGAACACCGGGGAAAGGATAGGAAACTGCGCGGAGACGAGAAACAGGTCGCGTGGAAGAATCGGCACGCGAAATTACTTCCTTCGCTCACACTTTAACGCGCTGCCTGACGTTAGAAAGCGCTCAACTTGACGAATGGTTATACGTCAAAATGGGCCCATTTGCATTACTCCGTCGCGTTGTTAATTTCCGTTTAGCGTCGGTAACGCCGCCACCGGAACGTTAATTCGCCTCGCCGTGGCTCGATGACGACACACACGATGTTGGGCGCGCGCGAGGTGGCCGCGTTTGAAAAATTAACGGTTCGTAATTACGTCTTGTCTCGTGGAGAGCCAATGACCTTGCCGATCGATCGGAAATTGCGCGACGCGAGGTATGATTTGCACTTTGCGTTTAACACACTTTCCTTCATTGATAATTCGCGCTAGATCAGTATGCCGCTCGTTTACGACTCGGAGGAGGACACCGACCAGCGATTTTTGCGATGTGTTCTGCGCTAGAATTATCGGAAAATTCCAGACGGGGAACTCTCTGTACTCCCGAAATTGGAAGAGAAACGAGCGGCGTGCCGTGTGTTAATCGTGATACACGGCAAGCTCTATTTTCGTTTTCATTTTGAATTACGCCGAGAATGCTCTTTTTCATTACGATTTAAGCCGCTTCGAAGCGTGTATAAAACGCGCGGCATTGGGACGACGAAGTTACTCCGTGGAGCGGAGAATTTTAATTAAGGCGGAATCACTTTTGTATTTATCCAATTATCAGATTAAACAAGAGGAGATAAATAATCGAGGAGCAAGTAACGTCGCAGTGAAGCCACGTGTCGTCGCGGCTCGAACACTCGCGGATTTAATTTCTTGGCCGAGTCGCACGCGTGAAGTATGTATACGTCGTTCAATCCGCGTTGAACTTTGAATGTCACGCGAGCGATGAAGGTAAAGTAAACAACGCGTCGCGTTGCACGCACGCAGAGCGGTTTTTGCGATTAAACAAACAAAAAGCGCGCATGCTCTTCCGTCAGTTTGATGTGCGAACGTCCACGTCATTGAACTTTATAATATACTAAATTATAAAAAAAGGAGAAATAAACGATCGGAGGGATATCCGTCTCTATTGTACATGGAAAAAAGTTTGGTTGAATTTACTACATTACAGACGCATTTTCGTTGAAGGAAACCGAATTTCTGGTTATAAGAATCAAATTTAGGTCATAAGAACCAGAAATCCTGTTTTTTCCAAACGCGTTTGGTCTGTTCACTATCTGGCAAATTTTTTTTCATGTACGTACCAATCACTATGATAAAGATTACATCTAACATATGTGTATTCTTTTCTACGAATGGGACACTTCTATTCCTTGATGGCTGTGGCTCATTTTAGTACACTATATATAGAGCTCAATGGTTCGCGCCGAGTTTCCTGTATCGATTACCGTTTGAGACGCGAGTCGAGGAGAGCGCGGCTTCTTCCTCTCGCGATGATTGTTCCGCGATATGTAGAAGTGAAATAAATGATCCCGGTCAAAACTTTGAAATCACATTGAGGAATGTTATCGAGGCATTTTCTAACGTTTGTTGTTATGCGCGCGATCTCGAGGTGAAATTATTGAAACATTTTCCATTTCCAACGCGTTATCGCGTTCGTGTTTTATCGCGTTATCCAAATACTCCATTTAAATGTCCTCTTTCTCTGATTCGTGACACATTATCACCCTAAGAAGATGTGACTGATATTTCCGCGTTACCGCCGGGAAAACGTAAATGAGAGAAAGCGCGGTCGGTCCCTCTTGTATGAATTCCACCTATTTGTGCGATTAAATTTCAACGATCTCAAAATTCCGCCGATGCGTGATGTGTACATACTCGCCGCGTAACACTGCGTCGAAACACAAAATCGAAGCATTAATCTGCCGTCGACCAGCACTGTTCTTTCAGCCCATTACAGCCGATTAATGCTTATTAGCGTCGGTTATTAACGTCACGTAACGTTGCAATTCCGTTTGTCGTTCTGCATCGCGTTATTATATATAATCGACGTGCGGATTGATTAATCGCGTTCGTCGCTACAACGACGACGAACCAGTCAGTAACAACCAACAGTCGTTGACCTCGCACTGACCGAAATTAAACGAAACCCATTAAAATCGTGTGCATTTTACTTCGGGACACACGCTCACCGTAATATTTATGACGCCGTAACGCGCGGTCAATAATCGTCCGAGTGAATTCTAGATATCGAGGAACCCGCGCGAGAGTAGAGAAATGTATACATACATATATGTGTGTATGTGTGTGTAGAGAGAGACGGGAAGAAGAGTGCGTGCGCGTCGATCTGAATAAATAAATAACAAATCTCTCTCTCTCTCTCTCTCTCTTTCCCTCACACAGAGAATTACGTGCGAGAGCTGCGATGCATCGTGCCGCGAGACGGTTGCACCGCACGAGCGATGGCGTAGGGCGGGGATGACAGGAAGGGCGCGATTTGTGAGCGGCCAATGTGGTTGGTGTGTACATTGAATTTAAATTATCCCGCTCGCCCCGTGCCGGGTGTAACATCCCGCGGACACGAATATTTTAAAAGGACGACGTGAACGTTACGTGCCGGGAACACGTTTCTCGTCTTTAATCTTCGATCGCATCTTATTATCACGTATTTATTTCATGACCGTATCGATCTTCATCTCGCCCGCGATACACGAAAGACAGAAGCGATATTCGATAAGTGCGTGTTCGAGGACTCGACGTGAAGAAGATCATGAAGGTATCGGTGACGAATTGAGCAGTAATACAATGATTTGATAATAATTACTAAAGATTTTCGGTCAAATAATTTTAACTAAATCATTTAATATTGTATATAGTACGATGTGTGCATATAGAACATATTGAAAGAAAGATGTCTTCGACCGTGCGCGCGACGAATCGCAGCCGTTCCTTCGCCCAAAGCGACGCGCGGAGAAACACAATTTCCGCAGAGGAATAGACAGAGCTCGGACAGAATAATTAATTCTTCGTTAACTATCACGAATGTTGCATAACGGTCTGCTTTTTTCATCAGTGTAATCCCTTCTATCTGCACACGAGCTGATGTACGAAACATACCGAACACCCTGTATAGTACAAAATGATTTGGTCGCAGTAACTGGACAAAATTTTGCTGAAACTATTTCACCGTATCCTGGTAATTGTTAGCGAATTCTTCTTTCAATGTAAAGAACGTGAGAATGTCGGTAAATGGGCCATCGCGTAAATCCGAACGTCTCTGTAAGACGGTAAGAATTCATAAGCGTTTATTCTTTCGCGGAGAGTCTCCTCTGTCCTTCGTGTGTCGGCTCGCATTTGGCTATTCACGAAAGTTCTCACTCCACTCACCGGCGGTTTTCGTTGCGTATCGGCGACGGTCCTTTCAGCGGCGAACAAAAAAGCGCGCGACCGCCGCCGCTCGGTACCAAGCGTGCTCGTCCCGACGCGCAACACCTGTTGAATCATTAGTCCGTCTGTGAGCTTAACGAGGACGCAGGTAAGTCGGTGAATGACACGCCGACCGTACCATACGCGTTTACGAGCTGTCTGTCTAATTGGCACGCACTCGCTTTAAAGCACCGTTCCGTCGTCGTCGCGAAACGAAACGTTCAGTCCGCATTCCCGCTCGTTGACACGCGTACGTACCCTTGCATAATTGACCGTGGCAACGCAAAGAGATAATAACTCCGACCTCGAATCTACCTGTAAATAAAGAGTAGCTCGGCAACCTAAACTAATTTGCCGTGCAGTTTACGTAAGTAGCTGCGCTCGATTCGTGCGAGCCGAATTACATTTTCGACGATAAGATCATCCCTCGAAGATAAGAGGCATCCGCGAATTTACGAGACTGACGCGTCCGCAGTGCAGCGTCGCCGCACGCGAAATCAATATGTTTGTCCGGCGGTCCCCTTCCGCGCGCACTCTTTCTCACCCCTGCTGACTGCTGCGAGCAGCGGCGCGAGGGAAACTCAGCCGTTCTCGATTCCTCCTAACAACCCTCCGGTAGCCGGGGAAGTTTCGGCAAACGATCAAATGCGACGGGAGCGCCAGATAAACTGTTGATTCGCACCACCTGCACACCCTGGAGCCACGTTAAATCAGCCGACGACGATGATGACGAGAAGGAGGAGGACGGTGGTATCTCTTGCCGTCTTATTCATCCACCGTGCCTTTTTGTGAACCGCTCGGCTCTCCCTAACGACGGACGATAATTCGTCCGACGTTTTAACGAAGGAACGTTCGTCGTTTACTTTGTTTCACGGTAACTATCGCTCCCGCTAACGCGATTTCGCGTGCTCCTCCGTTTGCTCTGCTCGTGTGCGCGTAACAAGAAGAAAGATAAAAAAAAACGACGTTGTTCCGCGAGACCGTTGTTCCGCGAGATCAATTTCGTGAGACGTCAAAGTGCGATAATCGATATTTCGGCATATAATGTAATCGCGATCGCAGTAGTTTAATTATAATTCGCCCGCGTGTATAAACTGTATTGGTTATTAATGATCGGTGTCGCATTACAGTTTATGAATTATTTCCGCGCACTGATAAACCTCCGGCATTATACGAGCGCGTTATGT